GTCAGGTCAGACGATGAGTCTGCTACTGGTAACATTGTAACCCAGTACAACCTGCCTCATGGACGGGTCGTCGGCGTCTAAACCGGCTCCCCCACCAGTCTAACTGGTGAGGAGGGTGGCATGTACACCCAGCAGGACTAAAAACAAGACCTGTCAAAGCGCGAATGAGCTCATCTGAGCCACAGGCCATCATGCATGCTTCTTTATTCTTTGTATGTATTTTTTGTAGTGTCATTTATATTTTAATTTTTATTGTTGTAATTTTTAAGTTTGATATCTTTGGACGGACTAAGAGCAGCAGCCATGAGGCGCCATCTTAAGCTCGCAGTCTACCATGACTCTGTCATTGTAATTGTCTGTAATTTGAAAGCGCTTAGAGCAGATTTGTACAAGCGCTGTATAAAAATAAAATTATTATTATATTGCTTTTGTTGAAGTTGCCAGTACGGTGATGGTACTGACATGAGTCGATTAAACTCTTCATTGTTTCTCGTAAAGACTTCTGTGTTTTTATTACACAGACGGTGATTGACAGCTGGTGTGCTGATCTTCTCAAGTCTTGTGAGCAGACTTTATCTGGTGTGATTYTAGAMGAAAACCAAGGTATGAAGAATAGGTCCTTATCAGGGTTCGAGCTACTCCTTGAAATCCTTGAAAAGTCCTGGAATTGAATGACTCATTTTCAAGTGCACTTAAAAAGACCTTGAATATGTGAAAAATCGCTTAAACTCCTGGAGAACTCGTTGAGTCTAATGAAATTAACATGTTGCTTTTTGCCGTTTGGATTCAAATGTGGCTATTTTTGAAAATTGCCACTGGAAATATTCGCAAGCATCAAAAAATATCTTCAAAAATAGTCCTTGAAAATCGCATTTTTGTGCTTAAAAAGTACTTGGAAAGTCCTGGAATTTTGTAGTGAAAATGTAGCACGAACACATGATATGTGCAGCTGGGAGTCATATGACCCACACCTACCTTTTTTAATTTATTAAATTGACCAAAGTTAGGTATACAATATTCACTGATAGCAATTTACAACTTAAAGCAACTTAAAGAGTACCTATTAGACCGCTTTCATAAGTGCTTATCATTGACTCAGCGCAGTAAGCGTTTTTCCCGATTAAAGGCAGCGGCCGCTGTTTTAGTAGACAACAGACTCACTTGCTCAGAGATCTTACCAAAAACAAAAGAAAGCACGAAAAGATGTTGAAATTACAATAATTTGAATCTTCTCCAATTTGAGCCTGTCTTCCCACAAGACCTGAGCCTGTCTTCCCACAAGACCTAGAGTTTTTAAAAGCCTTCTGGGAATACAGACTTTGCCTCAAATCGGAAAATGCAAATTTGTATATTTTGTGTCATAAAAAAGTTAGGTTTAGTTCACTCTATTCTCGTATTTTTAGTTTCAAAAGTCACTGATGAAGTTATCGTGAAGAATTTGTTTACTGTTGGTGAAGTTGCACAGGTAATATATATACCAGTATATGGCTGGTTCCCACTACTACAGTTTAAGAGTCATTTTTCTCGATGTTTTTGGGCTACGCAAGCTTATTTTGTGCTCAAAGCCCGGTCGACAATACTTTGAAGGTTTATTTTCAAACGTAGTAGTTTGCTTGAAGAGTCCCATTGTAAAGAGAGTTTAACAGCATTATGCATGTATAGCTAGCTTCGTGATATTGAATTACAACACACTTGTACATGAGACGAGTTGTTAGCGAGTTTTTGCTTAAAGAGTCATCTTGTAGCGAGTTAACATTATAAATCCTTGCTCTAATTTCAGCTCGCTCCAGGACGAACTACAGAACGTCTGTTCCTGCTTGTCGAGTCAATGTTGATCTCAGAAGCCAGTCTCAGTACGCCTGGTACTCCTCAGAGCATCCAGAAGAGTCAACTATCAAATACTGTTAARGCTCATGCCTTCGTTACTYTAGGTATGCTTGGATAGGCAATAGAGGGACGCCATTTTGTATGACAAAGCATGGTGGGAGGTGAAGCCTCCCTTAAAAAAAAGATTCTAAGCTGTTTTTGCTTTTTCTTTGAAACAATAGCTGTGTCGTTCATAGAACGAAAATAAAACATAAAATACGGGTTCTAGGGAGATTTTTTAGAGGCTATGAAAAGTGCGATAACTGCAACTCTTTCACTAGAATACTAGAATACAACTTTTTCATGTCCGCTAAAAAAATTCTCAGCTGTTTTTGCTTTTTCTTTGAAACAATAAAAGTAGCTGTGTCGTTTATAGAACGAAAATAAAACATAAAATACGGGTTCTAGGGAGATTTTTTAGAGGCTATAAAAGTGCGAAGACTGCAACTCTTTCACTAAATACTACAATACAAACACAATGAAAAACTTTAGTTATTAATTACATATTGCTAAGTTGTATTTTCTAATCTACACTATTTGGTTAGTGCAATAGTCTTCACGTTTCCCTGCGCCATCTTGAAAGGTAGCCGTGCCTTGACATCGAAGCGAGACGACCGTTGAGCGTGCAATGACAGAAACCTTCTTTCACACCTACAAACAATTATTCACAGGTATCTATCATTGCACGCTCTACGGTTGTTTCGCTTCGATGCAAAGGCACGGCTACCTTTCAAGATGGCAAAGGGAAACGTGAAGAAGACTACTGCACTATCGTATAATTGTGAACTATCTCTTGCAATTTTCCAGGAAAGCTGTGTCTACAGAACGAACACTTGGCCAAGAAATGCACGGCAGCTTTAGCCCGCGAGCTTGAAGTGTCTGACGATGCAGCCATCAGGAACAATGTGATCGTTGTGATGTGTGATCTTTGTGTACGGTACACAAGTCTTGTTGACCGATTCATTCCAAACATTGCCACGTGTCTGAGAGACAGTGCCCCCCTGGTTCGAAGACAGACACTGACTCTTCTTACCCACTTACTGCAGGTGAGCAGGGGGGGATTGAATTTTTCGTCTCCAGTTGTACTACTAATCGAAGTTGAAGCAAAGTTTTCTTGGACGTCATATTGGCATGATTTCAATCCACCTTAAGAGTGATTGTCAGAGAAAACCGGGCAGGGTGAAAAGATGGGGGTCGGYYGAWTTACCYCAAACTTATACCATTTATTAGGTATCGAATATAAGTAAGAATGGCCAAATATGAGCCTCAACGGACTTATACTTTCTGAGATGACCACCCCCCTCACTTTTGAGGCCAAAAAAGCGATTTAAATGCGAATAATTAGGACGAATTTTGAGGACTCCTAACCTATGATACACAAAATTAAACAATTTTTTACTGTTTCCCCAGTTTTTGTCAATTATTTGACTAGACATCCGAGTTAAAATAAAGTAGTTTTTGTAAAATCGTTTGTGTCAGGGCCTTGACAAACATCGTATGGTTGACGTACTTTCGCCAACATTGAAATTTGTGGCAACTTTAAAAAATAATTTCTCAAAAGTGCGGCACTTTATTTTGAAAATTCTTCGATATTATAATTATTTAAAGGTTTCTTGTTGATATAAAGCAATCCTAAATTTGGCACTTTTATTTGCTGAAATTTTGTAGGCAGTTAAAGTTGTACGGTTTTCATACGTCTCTTAAACAAAATTTCCATAATTGGAGCGAACATTTCTCACTTAAAGCCACTATATAAGTACTAATTCACATTTTTACACTATTTACAACTGGTGTAGCCATGACCTCTGATAATACAGGCTACAATGCTTTCTTTCAAGGTCGTACGATCAGGTTTCAAGTATGTCAACAAACAATTGATATTGCGTGACTTCCAGTGTGACAT